TAGTGATTCGTGTGACGTAGTGTGTGATCGAGNTCGTGTGTGTGAGTGCGTCCGGGGGGGGGGGGTTGGGATGGATTGTTTGCCATATTTGGTGCTAGGGTGACTCTTTGAAATGTCTCCTTACTGATATTGGCACTCTTGGCATTTTCCTTGAGAGTTGGTGAATTTATGGAATGCGAAGGATTAGGTGTGCAGGATGGAGTAAAGTTTCCTAGGTTTTCAATGACTGGATTGTTGTTTTGCATGCAAATCGACTGGGTTTGCATATATTTATTGGAGATTTGGGGTGAATGGGATTGGTTTGTACCTACGTGGGGAATTGCCATGGCCATCTGTTCATTGGTTGTGTTTTTGCATGCCAGATATTGTGTGTCAGGGTTTGCATGCAAATTGTTTATATTGGCCAAGTTTAGTTTTGCCGTGTTTGAGTTGAGGGGATTAGGATTAGTAGGGTCATGGGTAGTGGGAGGGGTTCTGTTGGTTAGGGGGAAATTATTGTTAGTTGTAAGAGGGGATAGGTGGAAAGGGGTGCTGGGGTTAGTTATTGGGGCAGTGGGTGGTATAGTATGGGTAGGTAGTGGGTCCCCTGGCTTGTTATTATTAGAATTTAAAAAATTGGTAATTACGTGATTAGTGGTGTTAGAAGTTTTATCCAAAACCATGTCTGCTCTTCCAGTAGCTGGAAGTGGTTTATGGGTTTTATGCCTTTGGTTGAAAGATCTAAGTTATTGGGAGGTAATTGGGGTGGGTTTGCATTTTTATTTTTATACACATATTTTTGAGTAGATAGAAATTTACCTGACTTTGCCTAAAAAATATTGACGTTAATACCTGAACCTTGGTGTTTTTCTGGCAGTTTTGAAGTAGTGTTCATAGAGCTCCATCTCTTTCCTTTATTGAACGAGACAGTCCTCCAAATCTCTTCCTGCTTCTCTTGCCCGATTTTTGATTTTGGTGTCTCGTTTTTGTGTTCTTCCTGGGTTTGAATAGATTTTACATGGGGGCACTGTTTTATTGGGTGGCCTAAGTGACCATAACTTTTACATAATAGGTTCTCCCCTTCGTAGCGGATGTATTGTTTATGGGAGCCAATGAAAATAAAAGGTGTTACTGGTTTGTTTAATGGAAGCTCAACACAAAGGCGAGCATATCTTTCACGGAGTGCCGCTGATGTCAAGCATCAATTTTTAGCAACCTACCTATTGTACTGCCCACTTTTTGAAGGATCATTCCATCGTAGAATTCTGTGGGGAGTTGAGGTAGCCTGATCCAGATTGCAGTAAAGGATTGGGTAGCTTGAGATGCCACAAAATTAGGAACCTAGTGCTGGACAGAAAGAAAGTGACCATAGATGAACCATGGTCCTTTTTGAATGGCATTTGTCATATTTTCTTCTTTGTTAAAGCGGACAATATAATTATCTTCTTCTAGATCAATTAATGAAAAAGATTCACTTGGTTTTCATAGGTCCGTTAGTTTCTTTTTTTAAAACATCATATTGAGGGATTCTTTTTCTGTAGTTTGATTATTACGGAATGTCTCCATGGGTAGTATATTCTTTGCTTGTCTTCCATGATGATAGGTACTGAAAATTGATGATCAAGTTGGGGAGTCTGTGAGGAGGTTCTATTCTCAAAGTTGAAGTAGATGTCCATAGGGGATTGGTGTGGAGCAGGTGAGGCTAGTGAGATGTTATTTTCCATTTCATTGGCTAATAGTTTGTCCTTAAAACAAATGGATTCAGTGTCCTTAGGCTTTAGGGGAGAGTTTATATCCGGTAGTTTAGGAGAAATGGCCGATTGGTTGATGTGTTGTGGCATATGGGAATTCCGATAGGATTTCTTGGTTTTTAGGATTTTAGAGAGAAGTCCACTTTGTGATTTCTTACTACAACTTCAAATTATTCTTCACAGCTTTTAAAAAACTATCATAGAATCACCTCAAAATTTTCTAGTTTTGGCATAAGAAAGCAACTCTTCTTATTTCTTTTACCCTTTCATTATGATCTCTTTTCTCAGTTTTAATACCGGCATGTCTTGTTATGTGTCAAAATTTTAATGTACACAAAAATATCATATGAAGAACTTACATTCATTAGAAAATTTTCACCACAGGAAATGAGTGATGGGATGATTGAGATCCTCCTTTTTTATAAGAAATCTTAAGTTCGAGCCTCAAAGTGAAAAAAATTTTGATAGTAAAAGTTTTATTTGGCGCAAAAATTGATTAAACCGAATGTTGATACCAGATGATTAAATTGAAAAAAATGAAATACATCTTACACACGTCAAAAACCTACAACTCCAAACCTACAACTCCATCTAGTCATCGAAATATATACAACCCAATGCACAAAGCATCAATAACAATCCACCCTAGTGCAAGTATTAATGGCTGATTCCACGGCTCAAATCCGTAATCTATAAGTCAAATAGAAATAATTTTACCTTTAATTCTGTTTGCGGTCGGATTCAAGCCTAAGAACTTCTAAACTTTCAAATTCCACAAACGACGCCGAAACCTATCAAATCATGTCAGAATGACCTCAAATTTTACACACAAGTCAGAAATGACACCACAAATTTACTCCAACTTCCGGAATTCCATTCCGACCCCGATATCAAATTTTTCACTACAGACCAAAATCGCCAAATTTCCGACTTTCGCCAGTTCACGCCTAATTCTACCGCAGACCTCCAAATCACATTCCCGACGTGTTCCTAAGTCCAAAATCACCTAACGGAGCTAACGGAACCGTCAAATTCAAATTCGAGGTCGAATACTAAAAAGTCAAAACTTGGTCAAACCTTTCAAATTTAAAGCTTCTAGCTGAGACCATTCTCCCAAATCAATTTCGGATAACCTGAAAACCAAAGCCGACGATTCACACAAGTCATAATATATCATACGGAGCTACCCATGCCCTCAAACAACCGAGCGAAGTGCAATTGCTCAAAACGACCGATCGGATCGTTACAACTTTGTGTCAAGTTAATCGGCATATCCTTAAAACCACTTACAAATTCAATTGTTATCCGATTTCGAGGGTAATCAACTTCAAAGCTCCCTCAGTAGAAATTTTTTAAAAACAATGGAAAAAGAAAGGGATGAGTTGGACAGATCATGACAAGGTGTACAATATTTCTTAGAGGACAAAATTGACCGGTAAGGGAATACATATAGTAGGAGGCAACCCCCAAAATCCAGGATCCAATTACACTTTCTAAGATTTAGCACAAACAACTATTATTTCTCCTTTCTCCTATGGCATCTAATAACTTTCACAGATCAGACAGTCTCATTAAATTAACTGAAAGGCTTCGTCTTTATAATCAGCCATTGGATAGCTCCTCCAACAATACCAATACCCATTTTCAAAATCAAAGTCCAAGAATTCAAGAATGCACAGCAAATGAGGTTGTTTCCAAAGAACAAGAATTGAAATCAGAATTTGGGACAGACCCAATAGCTAATAATTCAAGAAGAGTCAAATCCAATAGGGCTGCAGTTTTAGTGTGTTTATTTGAAGACCAAAAAGGCCATCTTCGTGTAATTCTCACTAAGAGAGCTTCCACTCTGTCTACACATTCTGGTAACTATTTGATTGCCCAATTTTTATTTTTACTTTTTTGGTTATTAAACTCTGTTTCCCCTTTTTATGACACTCTTTCCTTCTTAATTTGTTAAAAAAATTAGTCTTCAAATTTAAACTTTACATTTTACCTTAATTTTATGCTCTTATAGCCATGAAACCACAAGTTCTTAGGGTGTTTTAGGCTGTGTTAAGAGTGTATTTTTTTTCTCTTCTTAAAACAATAGCTGTAAGGGTGGATTAGTTTTTGTGTTTTTTTAAAAAGCAAATTATATGCCTAGTCAAACAACCGTTAGTTGTAAGGGTGTTTTAGTTTTTGTGTTTTAATAAATTATATGCCTAGTCTTTGTGGAACGGGAACCTTGCAGCAACGGTAAAATCGTCTGTGTGATCTATATGTTACTGTTTCGAGCTGTGGAAGCAACCACTAACGCTTGTATTAAGGTAGGCCATCTGCATCACACCCGTAAAGGTGCGGCCTTTCCCTGGACACCGTGTGAATGCGGGATGCTTTGTGTACCAGGCTGCCTTTTTGTATGTCTAGTCAAACACCGTCATATAAAATGATACAAATGAAGTATCATTTATAAAGTTTTAATAGTGGTGTCTGGCCAACTTGTGCGCACCTGAATTTTTTACCTGGTAGCCTACTACTACATCACACAAACATAGATGTCGGATAAATCTGTTCACTAAAGCTAGAGTATTGATTCCAAGTTTTGGATCAAATGTATTCTAAAAGCCATTAATTATCTCAATATGTTGTTTTTAGGTGAAGTTGCTTTGCCGGGTGGGAAAGTTGAAGAAGGTGATGCCAATGATATTGAGACAGCATTGAGGGAGGCCGAGGAGGAGATTGGATTAGACCGTTCACTTGTAGATGTCGTCGCTGTTCTTGAATCCTTTACCAACAAGGTACTGCATCTGTCTTCATTGAGGCTATTCTTTTATGCTCATGCCGCTGACCATTTGAAACAGGTTTGGAGTCCAATGGCATCTTCATCTTCTTATATAGAAGGTGAAGAGATCAATTCCTTTCACAGATCATATATATTACCAAGACCAGTAACAAGAAGAAAAGAATAGTGGTAAAATGGTACTAACTCATCAGTTCTTGAGAGCAACAACAACAATAATATATCCAGTATAATCTCACAAGTGGGTCTGTGGAGGGTAGTGTGTACGCAGATCTTACCCCTGCCTTGTGATGGTAGAGAGGTTGTTTTCCATAGACCCTCGGCTCTCCCAGTTCTTTAGAGCATTGTGCAATATCAGATATGACATGCATATTATTTTTGTAAGGCGTTTGGATCAACTTGCACGCATCTTGACTATTACATTAGTTATTGGCAAAATACATAAGTTACCCCCTGAACTATAGACCAAATCCCTATTACACACTTTTTGCGGACAAAAATCACAATACACACTCAACCTTTTCAAAGTGTATTAGATACACACTACTTTGTACACGTGGACAGTGCGTGTTTTTCCCGATGAATGAGTCGCGTGAACAAATGAATTTTTGTGTCAGATGTCAATTTTTTTTTCGTTTTATAAATTTTAAATTGAGTCATCTTCCTCCTTTTTAAAAAATGCTTCCATGGCTACTCCTTGAGACCTTGACACTTAGACCCACTTCTCTCTACCACCCGATCTCCTTCTTCTCAAATAGACCCACTAGGATTTCTCATATCTCTTCTCGGATTAGCTTTTAGTTTTTTTTTCCAAATCTTTTGGCGAGAAATTTAGATTAGATTTAGAAGTTAAAGCTTTTTGTAGCTCCGCCAACCATTAAAGCTTGCCTCAATCTTTTGCATAGAACGTTTTTTTCTTTTTTGCAGAGAAGCTTGACTTGAGCTTTACCCATGGCGAAGTCGAATTTTCTGGAAGCAAGAATTTTTCGAAAGTTTTTCCAACCATTAAAGCTTAGCTCAAGCTTTTGCACATTCTTTAATTTTATTAATGGATGAATTTTTAAATAGCTAAATTGTAGCGATGGCAGTTAATGGTGGTCGAACTTATACAGAAGAGAAATGGAAAATGAGTTGGATCCGGGCTCAAAATTTCTGATTTAATTTCAGCGGAAAAGATGGAGTTTTGGGTGTGTTTTTCGGTAGTTTTGTTAGTTAATGGTGGCTTTGCCATTATGTAAAAAGTGGGGGAAGAGGCTATGGTGTTTGATGGTGAAGAGAGGAGGACGGCAGCCATGGTAGTTTAGATGGGCAAGATGAGAGGTATAATTGTAATTTTAATTATTTTTTTTAAAATGACACGTGTCACTGTTTGATTGGTGCGTGACATTACACATGTTTTGAAAAACTTGTCAAAGAAAAAGTGGTGTATTAGATATACTTTGAAAAGGTTGAGGTGTAATATGATTTTCGTCCGTAAAAAGTGTGTAACAGGGATTTGGTCTATAGTTTAGGGGGTAACTTATGTATTTTGCCTTAGTTATTTGCTACCTTTCACCAGCACAGTTTTTGGGTGACTGTGCCCACCAAGGCTTAGGCAGATAGAATGAAATCATCTACTCCTTCCGTTCCAGTTTATGTGAACCTATTTCTTTTTTGGTCCGTTCCAAAAAGAATGATTCCTTTCTATATTTGGAAACAATTTAGCTTACACATCCAATTCTACCCTTAATGTAAAGATTTTATAACCACACAAATACTCTCCCTTTTTGACTTGTTTAGGATCACAAATTCCAAAAGTCTTCATTTTTTCTTATACTCCGTGCACAGTCAAACATGTTCACATAAATTGGAACGGAGGGAGTAGTATGTTTTGCCTCCGCTGATATTTGAGTCTGAAAGCTCATGGTTCTCGTCCAACTTCATTTGATCGCTAGGCATGGTGCCATGACAAGAATGTTGCTTATCCTAAAACCGAAAAGGATTATTGAAACTCCATACTACAAAAACTTGAAGATGTATTTTGTATAAAGTCTTTGAGTATTAACTGATAAGGCCTGAATTTCATACTCACTTCAACATCACACAACAGCCATTACATTGTAAATTGGTTAAAACAATGTCTTGTTTACTTTGATAGAAGAAAATCGGTTCTTAACTGAAGGATGGTTTGTGAGCACTCACATTAAACACGAGGAGCGACGGTTGTATAAGAAAAGTTATTTTAGCTGAATGTTTCTGCTCAATTTTATTGAGTTCTATTTGGAGTAGTTTTCTTGATCTGGTATTGTTGGCGCTTAAGATCAATGCTTAGCTGGTATCGAAGAACAATTGTAGGTAGAAAATTTCGATGCAAGCTATTTAGTCTTCTTCATTTCTGGGGACACAGATACTCTATGAAATCTGTTACGTTATATGACAGCTCTATTCTTCTATAGTCGTGATGTAACAAAATTACTATGATTTTGCCATCTCAAATTGGCATTTCTTTTCTTTTTCAGAAAGGAATTACAGTGGTTCCTGTTGTGGGCATACTTTGGGATCGGAACACATTCAAGCCAGTTATAAATACTGCAGAAGTGGCAGCAATATTTGATGCACCTTTAGAAATGTTTCTTAAGGTTAGTAAGTCTAAAAACTCCCTTTTACTTTACAGGTTTCGTCTTCAGTTGTTCTTACCAGTATATTGGTTGATATTAGGATGAAAATCGAAGAGAACAAGAGCTTGAATACATGGGAGATGAATACGTACTTCATTTCTTTGATCATGAAACAGAGAATGAGAAGTATATAATATGGGCTTTAACTGCTGGAATTTTGATTAAAGCTGCATCAATTGTGTACCAGCGCCCCCCTGATTTTCAAGAACGAAGGCCTAAATTTTGGAATAGGAGTCGCCAATAAACAGCCTCTCTACCTTCAAGGTAAGGGTAAGGTCTGTGTACACACTACGCTACCCAGATCCCACCTGTGGGATTATACTGGGTTTTTTGTTGTTGTTGTTGAGTCGCCAATAAAATGTTATTGCCAAATCTCTCCCGAAAACTTTGGCCTTTTAATCTTGAACACAAAGGATGTTTCCTTCAAAATGAAGTAAGCAAATTACAATACTTGTATCCTATTATAGCCATTGTTTTCAGTGTAACAGCTCTTAACATAGTAGCAAGATTGATAGTGGAAAGTATAATATGTTATGCAATGGTTCCATATTTCCATAGAAATACTGTTGTATTAGTTGTTCAGTGTTATTTATCAACTCCTTATTCATCACAGTTTCCTTTTTATGTTATGTATCCAAGCTGAAGTTTGATTTCTTGAAGAAACCATATCCAATGTAGTTTTTTTTTTCCCAGGCCAGCTTGCAAGCACCTTGACTATTCCGCTGATTGTGCTATGAACTTGAGTCAATAATGTGTATATTGTTGAAGGAGGGTCTTTTTTGTGTTTAGCATGTAAATGTAAATACAGTAATTTATACTATATGTGATATTTATTGTTGCCATACAATTCTTCTTTTAAATGTTTAGATTAACAATCATTAACCAAGTACCTGATAAACATCTTTGTGTTTTTAGGCATGATCAACGTCTAATTTTAACAATCAAATATTAAATACAATTTTCGGCTAAATTGGATTTGGATCAATTTGAAACTAGATTATGTATTTATGATTAGACTTTATCCAAGTCCTAAAGTCTCCAAACAAGCAAACTATCAATTTGCAATTGGTACAATTGACAATTAGATGAATCAGACATTCACGTTCAAACTTGAGAGAAATATCTGTACAGATTTATTTTTTTATTTTTTTGGATAACCAAGAAATCTTCGGCTTGCTAGCGCACAGTTCGAAACATGATAGATAATGAACTCGCCCTATACTCTTCTCCACCTGAATAAGCATGATGGATAATGAACCCGCCCTATACACTTCTTCACCCGAATAAAAGTGTTCAGTTAGCGGAAGGATTCAAAATCGAATCATGGGCCTAACCTACACGTTACACGTTGTGCTCTTGCCGCTGAACCACGGGGGCATGCTTGGCACATAATACACTGCCTTCTTTCTTTTCTGGTGCAACACAAGTTTGCCTCAAATAAAATCTAAAAGCACTGAGCTGAGACAAGTGCATTATAGTAAGGACTGAACTAATGGGATTATAATAGCTGCTATACAACAAAAATGAAACATTTCAGAAAATAGAGCAGTCATAACCAAATACAACTGGCTACAGGTAATTCTGAACCCCATTTCTTAAGCACAGTACAAAGGCAAGCTTAAGCAAAAGTCTAGTGTTACAATTGTCAAATCTTTAGACGGTTTATGAATGGAACATAAAGCCAAAAATAAGTATCTCACTCTATAAAACAGCTTAGGCGAAAACCTCATAAAATTTCTCAACAACAAGTACGCCCGAGTCAATAGATTCCAAAGGATCCTTCCTCAGTCTGTGTCTTAAGCAGTTTGGAATGACAGTGGCGATATCCTCTGGAGTTACCTTATCTCTTCCTTTTAGTGCAGCCAATGCTCGTGCTGCCCTGTTAGTGACTATATCACCTCTCAATCCATCGACGTTTAGTTCTGCACAGACCTTAGATATTTTAACTCGAAGATCATGATCGATTGTAACAGCAGAAAGAGCGTTCCTAGCTGAGTCGATTTGGTTCTGGAGCTTTTCTTGCTCTGCCTTGTATGACTCTCGGAATTCCTTGGGGTTCTTATCAAAACGAGCTCTTTCCTCAACGATCTTCACTCTCAGCTCTGCATCTCTCACGGTTCCCACTTGGGCATGCATTCCAAATCGATCAAGAAGTTGTGGCCTAAGTTCTCCTTCTTCAGGATTACCCGAACCAATGAGGATAAATCGGGCCGGATGTGAGATTGATATCCCCTCTCTTTCAACAGTGTTCCATCCTGATGCTGCAGAATCCAAAAGAACATCTACTAAATGGTCATCCAAAAGATTAACCTCATCGACGTAAAGAATTCCTCTGTTAGCTTTAGCAAGAAGACCAGGCTCGAAAGCCTTCACACCCTCAGTAAGAGCTTTCTCAATGTCGATTGTGCCACACACCCTGTCCTCAGTAGCACCAAGTGGTAAATCAACCATGTTGATTTTGGTACGAGATATAGGAAGCTTCTCTCCGCTCCTCAATTTGTCACGGACTTCTGCACTCATTACTTCTTGGTCATCTGGATCTGAATTGAACGGATCACCAGAAATAACTTTGATTTCAGGAAGTAAATCCACCAAAGACCTAACCGTGGTGGACTTCCCAGTTCCCCTATCGCCCATTATCATCACACCTCCAATCTTTGGATCTATTACATTCAGCAAAAGGCATAACTTCATCTCGTCTTGTCCCACTATAGCTGCAAATGGATACACCGGTCTCTGGCTCTCCTCGGCAAGTTTCTGACTCTTAAAATGGCAAAGTAGTTGAGCTTATCAATATACTTTGTATCAAATGTTAGAACTTTCTAATCTGAACCTAATTAAACTATTTTGAACTTTATATATTCATCCTTGTCCTCAAATTTAATACTCCCTCCATTTCAATATATGTTTCTAATTTTTCTTTTTAGTTTGTTTTGAGAAAATACTACCATCTTTCTATATTCAGTACCGTAAATTTTTAGTTCCACTATTCCTATTTTCTTCTTAATGACACTAATTATAGGAATGACATGACAAGTTCAGACCACAAGATTTAAATGTTATCTTTGGTACATTATACAAACCTTTATATTAACACAGATTCAAAAGTCTACTTTACATTTTTAAACTTCGTGCTCAATCCAACTAAAATGAAACGGAGGAATCTATTTTATATGAGACTTTTTCCTTTTTGAAACGTCCAAACATGTTTGAGATCACTCCGTTTCAATAGAAATTTTACAACTTTCAAGATTTCAAATTCATTAAATATCCAAATTTCTAACCTTCAATGCATGTTTTTTCCATCAAACTTATTTTCAATCATTAGTATAATATTCATTTCCACTATCACTAATATATTATACAAGTCAAATAAACATCTCATATAATATGAGACATAGGAAATATACCCACATCCAAAAAGCATCACAATAGGGTCCAAGAACATTTCAGCAAACAACTTATATGCATTTTAATAATCTTTCTAGCTACTCGCGAAAACAAATTAATTAGCTCTCTCTCAATATTGCAACCATTTCATTTCATAACCTCTACTTAGATTTCGGAGAATCCACAACCAAAATCCCCCCAAAATCTCACACTATTTATAATATACAAATCTTCCCTAATGAAATTACCATATATACCGAAATACCGAAATGAAGAAAATTAGTACCTGTTCTTGAGCAGGGCTGATTTCCGTCGCAACATTTGAAATTGCGACATGGAATTGGGACCTCCCTTTCTTAACTGGGACTCTAATCCCTCCATAAAACTTCCTCCCTTGACTCTGCCCTGCAATACCAAAGTACCCATCAATTCCAAGAACCCAAATTCATAGTACTAAGAACATTTATCTTTAAATTGGTGAACTATATGGATAGAATTTATGCAAACTACATTGTGATTGGTTATACCTGAAGAATTGAAGAGAGATAAAATGGAAGATTTAGAGGAGCGAGAAGATAAGGGTGTAGAAGCTAATATAGCAGCAGCTGCTGCTGAAGAGGAAGTTCCTATTAGTGAAGCCATTTTGTTTAGAATTTTTCAGTGAAGAAGAAGAACTACTTTTGCTTTGATACTTGGCAATTGGCATTGGTGTGTTGGTCACTACTAATTACTGGCTTGTGTTGTATTTTGTCTGGATAAGACGATAGATTTCCGGGTCATACTTTTCTGTAGCCTATGATCCATTGGGTTCGTGGGCTACACAAAATTTAGTTAAAATAGCCACTGTTTTGCTGAAACACGAAAAGTTCCATCAGGATTGCGTATAAACTTATGGCATATTATGCTGGAACTCCGATACGCGAAAAGTTCCAGTATAATATGCGGGATTATGGAGCTCCTACGTATAAACTTCCCGCATATTATGTTGGAACTCCAACACATTATGAAATTACAGCATATTATGCTGGAAGCTCATATACAAAAAATTCGAACACCAGCATATTATGATGGAATATTTCCGGATTTTTAAGGGTGCTTTTGTTCAGATTTTATCTTTACAAGAAAAAATGGCTAAATTTCAATTACTTTTGAAATAGTGGCTATTTTTCAATTACCAATTGTAACTCTGGTTATTTTTTTTTTATTTTTTTCCCGAAAATTCACAATTTGGGCCAAGAAAAAATAGGCAAGGTGATATTTACGCAAGGTGATCACTTTTGAGGCCTTTTATTTAAAAGTTGATCACTTCTTCAAAATCAGACCAGTGAAAGTTAAAAATGGTCATCTACTCTAAAATTTATCAAAACTAGTATTCAGAACACGGGTTTAATTTTGAAAAAGTTATCAACTTCTAAATACAAGGCCATAAAAGTGGCTATTTGAGTAAATCAGCCAGAGGCAAGGGAGGAGCACCTCATCTGGTTACCAAAATTTTACTACCTTCTAAAAGGAAAAGAAAAAGAAGATTTAAATTTTTCTTCTTCTTTTTTTTTTTTAATCTCTGCCTTTGATTTCATGATTTACCCGAATATTTTCTATTAAATCGTATTTATCTGTCGCCGTATGAAGAATAATTTTGTCTGAATATTTTCTACAGTATGCAGTTTATTTTATTACATGATAATAAAACTAATTCATACAAGTACAACTCACTCATAGTTCAGATATCACAAGTTTAAAAGAAATAATTTACGTCTAGAGCTCATAATTGGCAAATTAAACATAAACTTTTGGAATAACTTTTTATTTTTTTAAGGATTCATTGGCAATATTACTTTAAGTCTTTGTGAAATGTGTATAGGTTTGAATTTCGAGGAATATTAGACGAATTGGCGAAAGTATTTCTAGAGCTCCTAGCTAGTGCTATTCTCAACTGACATTGTTAAAATTAGCAGGATTTACTCTAGTTAAATAATCTTCAAAATATATGGATTTCATAACCTAGACAGCAAAAATCATTTGTCTGAATAATATTCATCAACAATAATATTCAAATATTTGTTCTTATCCAGAATTTGCATTGCTATTGTTCAGGTGTTGTGTTCATCTCATAATCCCTATCAAGTTTTGTGCATTTGAAAGATGATTTAAAAACCTACTTCATCTTCTTTCTTCTTTTTTTTCTTCTTTCCTATTACTCACTCCGTGTCAATTTATATGATATTTTTGCTTTTCAAATATGTAAAACTATACAAAAAACGCTAGAAGTAATAGTTTTTCTCATGTCAAAATGATAAAAATATATATATTTTAAGTGTTGGTCAAATTACATAGTTTGAATCTCGAAAAATAAAAAATATCATATAAATTAAGACAGGGAAGTAGTTAGGTTTTTGAGAGGAAAACCATTTAAATAAAAACATGCTGGCTATGGGGTTCGAACCCATGCGCACTTATGTGCAGAAGATCTTAAGTCTTCCCCCTTAACCTCTCGGGCAAACCAGCCTATATGCATATGTTTGCTTAATCATAATCACATATTAAAATGATAATATTCATAATCTGATAATTACTTGCTGTAATACACTTTTGATCAGAGTGACGATGGTCATTCCTCTATTCATATTCTACTAGAGGGCAGATCCAAAATTTAAAGTTTATGCGTTCATACATCGACCTCAAGTTAATACTAGAAACGGGCACTTAATATATTTTGGTTCACAGGAACCCATGCTAAGACCCAAAATTCTGTATTATGCTGTACAAATTTTTCATAAATTAGACAAATGCTATCCTTGTGCACCCAATAAAATAAAAGCATCTTGCACCAAACAAAGGCATGGTGCACTGATCGAGGATCTAGTGATGTGCATATGTGTAAAGGAGTTAAAACCTTTTAACATGACTTCTCTTTTTAAAGCTTTTCAAGTAAATTTACAGTATTTTATGCTTGGGGCATTCATTCGATAATATAAAAATGTTGTAAGGAGCCATTTAATTAAATAGTGATATAATATTTCTGATCTTTCTTTTAGACGATCTTCTTTCTCTCTTTTAATTTGTTTTCCTGTTCTATTATTCTTTTTTTTTTTTAAATCTTTTAATTCGTTCTTTCATCACAAGTTCACTTGAGATCTTTTCAATGTTACTAATGAATTATCTATAAATAAAATTTAAATAACTTGATAATAAATATTTTTACACTTTCGCGTATAAAGTTAATTCTTCTGGGTTTTTAAAAAAAATTGTGTTTCCTCTCTCTTCCAACTCCATCTTAGCGGTATTCAAACCTTAGCTTCCATCCCCGAAATTACAAGTCACACAAGTGATTTTCATGACTCATTTCCAGATGCAAAATCCTGACTTAACCATTTTCTGTAGGACCCATTAAATAAATAAAATAAAGAAAAAGAGAAAGCTGGCAACAAGTGCAATTGCAACAAGTTGCAACCAGAGACAAAACAAAGTTGGCAACTTGCAAACTTGCAAATTGCAAAACCAACGCTTCTGATTGGTTAGAGAGGGTGGTTCTCTTCCTATAAATAGAAGCATTTGCTTCTCAGATCAAACACACCAAATCGAGAGAAGCAACAGAGAGTTAGAGAGAGTAATCCACAGATTGTAGTATGTGAGATAAATAGTGAGTGGGAGTAATATTGTAGTGAGGTGTTTAAAATAAAGAGTGTTATTTATTTCGAAGTTGTAGTAGTCTCTTGACACTACTAAGTTGTAATATTATAGTGGTAATATTGCTCCGCTGGGGTATTGTATTTTATCCCGTTAAAATATTTGGTGTCGTTGTTACTCTCTTGTGTTATTATTATTTGCCGTGGGTATTATTCCTGGGTGGGATATTATTTTTCCCAACAACGTGGTATCAGAACCATGGCGAATAATAGTCCGCTGTCTTTTCAGTATCCCCGTCTCACAAAAGATAATTATGAGAAATGTTGTCTACGTATGAAAGTCATTCTTACCTCCCAAGATGGGTGGGAAATCGTAGATAGAGGGTATGCAAAACCCGATAATGAGGAAGCTCTGCCTCAAAATAAAAAAAGATGTCCTGGCAAAGACAAGGAAGAAGGATCAACAAGCCCTCACGCTCATCCTCCAATGTTTGGATGATGCCATGTTTGAGAAGGTGGCAGATGCTACCACCTCAAAGGAAGCTTGGGAGATTTTACAAAATTCTCTTCAAGGAGTTGACAAGGTGAGGAAGGTAAAACTTCAAACTCTAAGGGCTGATTTTGAAGTTTTAAAAATAAAAGAATCCGAATGCATTTCGGATTATTGTTCAAAAGTGAAGGTTGTTGTGAATCAATTAAGAAGATACGTGGATGACATAGAAGATGTCCGTGTGGTAGAAAAGATCCTTCGCACTTTAACACCTAAATTTGATTTTGTGGTGTGTGCTATTGAGGAGTCTAAAGATTTAGACTCTATGATGGTGGAGCAATTGGAGGGTTCTTCACAGGCTCATGAAGAAAAGATCAAGAGGAGACAAGAAGTACCACTGGAGCAACTTCTTATAACTCAGGCATCCTTTAAGGATTATGGAGGTGAAAAAAGCTATCGAGGGAATGGACGAGGACGAGGCCGTGGCGGTCATGGAAGAGGAAGGACTAATAGTAACAACTTCAACAATGAAGTTAAAATCCACCAAACATTCAGAGGTCGTGGTCGTGGACAAAGAGGAGGAAGAGGACGTGGCTACTACCAAGAAAATAATGGACAAAGGTATGACAAATCAAAACTTGAGTGTTATAATTGTCATAAATTTGGCCATTACTCTTGGGAATATCGTAGCAATGTTGAAGAAAAATCTAACCTTGTTAACGACAAGAAAGAAGAAGATGAGTTAACGTTACTACTGGCACTCAAGGAAGAAGACAGGGATGATTGCAGTTCGTGGTATTTGGACAATGGAGCAAGCAATCATATGTGTAGATGCAAAGAAAAGTCTGTGGAGATCAATAAAATGGTAAGAGGTAATGTGTCCTTTGGAGATACCTCAAAGATTCAAATCGAAGGGATAGGTACGATTCTGATCTCCTGTAAAGATGGTAGTCACAAGCTAATTCAAGATGTTAATTATGTGCCAAAATTGAAAAGTAATATTTTGAGTTTGGGCCAACTTCTTGAAAAGGAATATGACATCCACATGAAAAATATGCATCTTTGGCTTAGAGATTCAAGTGGAATTCTAATTGCTAAAGTGCATATGGCAAAGAATAGATTATTTTCTCTGAATCTTAAAACAATTGATGCAAAGTGTTTGAAGGCTAATGTGCAAGATGAATCATGGTGTTGGCACATGCGATTTGGGCGCTTGAATTTTGAAGCGCTCAAATCAATGGGAGAAAAGAACATGGTACATGGGATACCATCAATCAACTATCCAAATCAACTGTGTGAAGCTTGTCTTCTTGGAAAACATGCAAGGAGGAGTTTTTCAAATGAGGCCATGTCAAGATCAACCAAGCCGCTCCAGCTTGTTCACACTGATGTGTGTGGACCAATCAATCCACCTTCTTTTGGTAAAAGTAGATACTTTCTGCTTTTCATTGATGATTTAGTAAAAAGACTTGGGTTTATTTCTTGAACCAAAAATCTGAAGCTTTTGCTGTTTTTAAAAATTTCAAAGTACTTGTGGAGAAAGAAAGTGGCTATGAAATTAAAGCTCTAAGGTCCGATAGAGGAGGCGAATTCACTTAAAACGAATTTAATGA